ACTGAGTAGGCTTTGATTAGCTAGTCAGCGTAGTAGTGTATTTTAAATCATTTTTTTCTACTTGTGAGGTGTATTGGTATGTCTCGGTTCACTGAACACATCCCCAAGAGCATTACCCTTGAATATCACAAATACACAAGCCCTTCATGGATTACGATGAGGTTTGTTGTACTTATATAGATGCGAACCAGGAAGAACCACAAGGTATAAAATAAATTTGAAACTGTATCTTGATGAAGAGTGATACTGCAACTAAAAAAAAAATCCAGTATAGAAACTAGATCCAAACACATTGCTGGTTATTTCTCTTCAATTCTCCTTTAAAACTTCTGATGGTCTTTAAACTGTTGTACTAATGTTTCAAAAGAAATGTAATTTTACAGAGTGACTTGTCTGGGAATAGAATGAGATGGAACATCTGTCCTTCTGAACTGTTGGAATTGTTTGGCTGAAGCAAATGCAAGATGAAAAAAATGGAGATAAAAAGACAGTTGAAAAAAAAATAGGACTTGTTAATCTTTTCTCTAAAACACATACTAAACTTTTCAAGTTAAATTTACTCATACTATTTCCTGCTATTTTATACTACTACATCTTCCCACATAACAACTGAGTTAAAAAAAGGATAAAAGTAAAACTGGTTTCATTACTGAGATAACAGCGTATGCTAGGACAATTGAAAGAGTCTGATGCATTTTCTGATCACAAAATACAGTTTTATTTTTTAAAATGGTGTGAAGGAAAACATTTAATGATCCAGACTCTTGTATCATATTGTCAGCATCTCAGCTAATTATTACGATGATCCTTATTTTGTTCTGAGCTGGCTTCCAGAAAACATACTGGAATAAACAACCATTAAGCCTTCCATGCCAAAAAGCACTTTAAGACTAGTAAAAGGTAACATTGTCTTTTTTAAATGTTTTCAGCAGCCAGTAATCTATTTTCATGGTGTTCTGTAAACCCTATTATCAGGGTTGCAGATTCCTACACATGACCAGTCTTCAGTAGTGAACAAAAATGGCATCTAAATCCCAAGTGACACTCTTAAGTACTTGGCAGCAGAAGGGCTCTTCTGAGGAAGATTAAGTTAATGGAAGCATTTGGGTAACATCTGCATGACTCTTCGTCCTGGTATGGCCAACTCACACTGCTGCAACACGTGATGGAGGATTTCTTTGATTATCACTTAAGAACAAAACTGGCTGAAGTTCCTTTCCAGGCATTTGTCAGACTTTAATGTATGTGTGAGAGTATATATGTGGTGTAAACAGGCGCAGTTCTAAAGGGTGGCCTGTACAGACTTTGAAGAGGACTTAATAAAAATCAGATTACTAGTTTAATGAAAAGTAAAAGAAATTGAGGGAAGAGTTGTTGTTGTAGCTGCTGTTTATTTGTCTTATTTACAGCAAGACGTACTGTCTTTTCCAATTGAGTGCTGCCGCAGGCACACAGAGCCTCGTTAATACAGACGATTAATGCACTTGCCCTTCACCTCAGTTGACCCGGGTTTAAATCTGTTATTTTGTTACAAGTTAGAGGAGTTTATTGGCCTTTCTTTAGCCCCTAGCTGGTGCCTTTCCACCTCGTAAAACCACTTCACAGTTTGGCATAAGTACTGGGTTTTGGTGTGAAAAGACCCAGGGTTGCAGCAGCAGGGAAGAGGCAGGTAATGGCTGAGGGACGTCCGTGAAGGGGCGTGGGGAACCTCATCCAAGGACTGATTGGGTTGGACTGGCCTCACTTGGTTTTTCAGACACCATTTGAAACCAGAGAGACCCTTGCTTGTCTGCAAAATGCAGCATCGGTCTCCATGCCTAAGTTGAACAGAAGTTACTTGCTTTCAGTTTCCATAGGGCTAATATTAAAAGAAGGATAGCAGAACATGAAGGATTCAATTATACTGGTATTGAGAAGCGCAGTTTATATTGGTTTTGAGATTTGTTGACAGTAAAGGACCTGGCAGAGTGTAATAGAAGTCTTAAATTCTTTGAAAAGGTTTTTATTCTCTACTGGTTATTCCCACTCTTTCAAGTCTCCTTTCCTGCAAAGTCCAACACTGTTGTCAAGAGGTGATTTACATCAACAGCTACAGGGGAAACCTACAGACCAGTGCAAGCTCCATGGAAGTGCCTCCTTCTCTTTATTTCAAGATCTGGCTAACTGGAAAATCATCTTGACTTACTATTCCAAGATTTGGAATAAAAGGTGACAAATTACTGCAAGTTTGAAATGAGAGCCATGCTGAGAAAAGAGAAGAAGCTCATAATTTTATTGTTTTTTCCTCATTGAAAAGGAGTGTTTTAGAGGAAATTGACATTTTCCAGAAGAAAGCCTTGGAAACTGAATTTGAAATTGGTGTATATGAACAGAATACTCAGCATTTTGGGCAGTTATACAGAAAATAAAATTTGAAGAACATAAACTAGCCTGAACTTAAAAAAGAAAAAAAAAACAAAACAAAACACACTTTTACAGTTTCACAGGAAAGAAACAAAAGTCAAGGCAAAAAACTTGCTGTGGTCAAACTCTGCTGTTATGTTACCATTCAGCCCTGAGCGCTAGAGAAGTGTAATTCAGGTCTATCTGCTGAAATTTACTGTCTTTTTACTTAGCTTCAGATTCTAACATTACCATAAGAGAAGTCAGCTAGTTGTTAATAATTTCCAGAACCTTATTTCCAGCAGCTATTCTTTTTCTCCAAGGTATGTATTCCTAGAATTTCCCCAGATTTTGTTTAGGTAAAGGAGGAGCAGTTTTTCACTGCAATTACTTTTTCTTTAATCTGTTTCAAAGGAAAGGCACTGGCAGACAAAGATTGGTTTTGCCTGCAGATTTCATCTTTGAATGATGTTTTGTGTTTAGGATGTGGTAGACATCCACTGTAGAACAGCACACTGGTTTCAGATGTTCTTTCCTTTTTGTTGCTGGTTACCAGCTTTTTTTTTTTTTTTTTTTTAATAATGCTGTTGTTCCAGCAGAGCCATTTGGAAAGAGACAGTGAGAATCTGCTTCAGGGCAGTGTCAACCAACTTAGAGTTTTCATTGGGTTAAATTAACTTGCTAGCCTTTGTGATAGGAATGAAGAGGAGCTCTGTGGTGGGGGCAGCTGATTCTTTCAGACCGACCGTAGCAACCACCTGAAGGGGGGACCCTCTAACAGCAGTTTCTTCAATGAGCAATTGACCATCACTCGTAAAGATTTTCAGTGTTTATACCTAGAAGTTGCTCCCACTAATGACACTGTTTAATGTGTCATCAAATCGCAGTGCTGCTTTGGGTGGTAGGGCTCTGGATACATCACAGGGCCATGGGTTTTCCAATTAAATGTGCAGTGAATTAAAGAGTTTACATTTCTTGAGAATGAACAGATGAGTAGATGAGTCTTCTTATGAACTGGTATAGTGAAAAAAAACCCCACCCAGACTGTATTAAAAGCAGATTTGATTTTGTAAACTTTACTAAACTTCTGATCCTACTGACCTACCCACTTCAGTGACTGGACAGAAAGACAAGAAAACTCTGTTGTTAAACCAGAGCCTGTCCATCACATTCACAGCCATGTTAGTCTGGAAGCAAAGCATCTCTCTGTGAAAGTGAGGTGAGGAGGGAGGCTGGGAATTGGTGGGGCTTGTGAAGCCAGGCCCTCTCTCAGTCACGGCCCCAGCTCGTAATCTGCATTTCAGTGGGGTGAAGTTTAAAATATCAACTGGTTTCTAGGCCTTTGGTTTGGTGAATGAAATGTAATAATTTATAAGCCCAGAACACCAGTGTCTGGCAATACTGTGTGTTGGCATTGGCCTGAACACCTTGTAGATGGGTTTAAGTGGTGGTTGTTATATAAAAATGCTGAAGACCTGTCATGATCGAAATGATGTTAATTTGAAAAACAACACTAACCTAGTTAATCTGTCAAAAACTACCATAAAACCGATGCTTTTCAGTTTCTGATGGAATATATTCCTTGGGCCAGATCCTCAGATGCTGTGGACAGTTGTGCTGAAGTCAAGCAAGCGATGGTGGTTTGCAACAGCTGAAGCTTTGGGTGCCTGGGGGTGCATACTTGTGTTTTATGTAGCCTGGATATTTACTGTAGGGCTGGATTGCATGCAGGGGATCTGATGGTGGTGTGCCAAAAGGAGAAAGAAAATTCCCTTTCCACAGAGTGCTGTCAAAACCCTGCATTTGTATTTTGAATCATCAGGGCTTTAGCTTTTAGGCTTGAAATTGTTTAAAGATGTCATAAATATTTCTGATATTCTGTTAAATGCAGTCTGCTTTGATTACCAAACCTTGCTTGAATATTGCACTCAGGGGGGTAATGATAATATTGATTTACCTATGTATAGTGTGTAGTATATCAGTGTTATCAGGCGTGACTTTATTTTAGTAGAAACTTTACAATACAAATCTAATCTGATAGTTTTATATGATCTCTGGCTCTGGATGTTGGAAATAGGTTGCAGCTTGCGTTGTAATGGTTTTGTTTAACACAGCACATGGCTTTTCAAAAGCATTTGAGGGCTAACCTTCACTCAGGGTTTTGTTCTTACCCACGAATGGCCATTTTAATGATCACTCACAAGAAACTGTTTGAAATATTTCAGAAACCTGTGGCCCTAACTTTGATATTCTTGTGTGAAGGTCACCCTTTTAGAGGCAGTGAGCTGTGTCGTACTGTCTGAAGGATTCTGGAAACTTGCTGCTGAACAGAATTCAGAGTGATTTAGGAACAGAAAATATCTTCTCTTACTTGCTGCCTATTGAGAAGTGACCCTGCTGTAACTCCTTTCTTGCTGCTACTCCTAATATACTCACAAGGGAGAAGAAGCCTTTGCTACAAGCCCATCAGCAGAGAGCAGATCCAGGGGAACTCCACTACATGGTGCGGTGCGGGGCCCAGTTTAACTTCACTTCATCTTTCCAGCACTCCCAGAATTTTTCAAAAATGTGGGTGGAGATCCATTACACATGCTTACTATGGTTACTCGCCATGAAAAACAGTGTGAACGGCCAACACAGACTCCAGGTGGTGGATCAGCATTAATCATAACAGACCCAGGGGCAGAGGATTGGCAAGATACCACAAGAAATGGTTGTACATCCATCCCCTTGAACTCCATTTCCTCCACAGAGAACAGGAATATGGAGGTAAGTGGCAGCGCCTCCATCTTCTTTTTCCAGCTATCATAAACCATGATCTGCTGTATGCTTGTGTCCTTTTGTCTGCAGGGACAGAGTGAATGACATAACTGTCTGGTAGAGTAGACTTAAAATTTTGTTTTTTTGGAAAGCTATCATGAAAAAATAATAAAGATAGAAGCCTGTCCTTCAAATTCGGTTGGGTTTAATAGGTACAGCTTTTAAAGGGGTGGCTTGTTTGTCAGCACACTTGCCTAAAAGACTATCAAGGTGATGAGCCAGAAGGATACATCTTTTCTTCTCTTTCCTCTCTTCCTCACTCGTCTGTTGCATATATTTCTGCTCATCTGAATCAGAGGGGGAAATGGGGTGGATATGGAAGAGAAGCAGGAGTGCTCAACATGTTTGCAGCATGCTCACAACAGGCCTGTTGTGTGAGATACAAATGGTGAACCAACTAGCAAGAGAAGTTTGGGCTTGTGGTTGGCCTTGTGGCCGAGCTCTCTAGCTGGCAGAGCAGCTGCAGAGGCAGCCGGGGCCGAACTGGCTGGGAGGAGATGGGGAAGTGGATGGGCTCTGGCCAGTGCCCATCCCTCCCCCTTCCCTCAACGCAGAGCTGTGCAGGGAGCTCTTTTGCTCAGAGGATGTTAGGACACAAGTGGTGCCTCCACTGAACCACAGAGAGGAACAGCTACTAGAGTTGCTGAAATAGGGACTGTGAGATGCTGTGAGAGCTTGCTGCACTTCTGGAGGATTTTCTGCACCCCATCCTCTTTCGCTGGAGCTCTGTCTCTCTCCTGTTTGCATCTTCCCACTCCCCACAGTCCTTTCACTTAATTTTCGCTCCTTGTCTGTTCTGTTTTATCTTCAGCTCTCCTGGCCTATTTCTCCTTACATCATTCCCTGTCAGTCCCTTGTTTCTTTTAGTTCCACACCCCCCAGATTATCTAAACCCTGTTAAGAAAAAAATACAAATGGACCTCCTCTGAAGTTGATTCTATCGCACAATTTGCTGGTTGTGTTACTGCCTTTCTTCCAGCCTTTCCTCCATCGTTCTTTGTTTTGGCTGTGAGAGCTCCAGGCAGGGCCTGGCCGCAGCTCTGTGTGTACAGAGCCTAGCAAGACAGAAGGCACTCCGTTCTCACTAGTCCTTAGGCACTGATGTTGTAAGAAGAATTAATAGTAATTTGAGTGGATGCAATTGCCAGTGTGGCCACAGACTTACAATGCAACTGTGGGAAAGTAAGTCTTCTGGTGTCTCTGATCACTATCTGTAAAATAATACTTTCCTTTTAGCCTTTAAATAAGAATACATGGTTAAAACTAAATTGGATTTTTAAATCTCTTTCACCATGAATAATCTTCTATGTGGTTAGCAGGACAATTTAGGTATGCAGTTGTTTTTAAATGGTAAATTTTAGGCTTACCTGTCTGCTTCTCAGATGTTACATGATTCTGCAGTGTGGTGTACTGATTTGCAGTTCATGCATCAAGGTGTGTACACAAATACATTCACACTTCAGTTCCGCTGCTGCTCCTCCTTTGAAGGATCCCAGTGGAAAATTTGAAGAAATAGGCATCTGGGAAAAGACTGTTGCAAGTTTTATATTCTCCTACCAACTTGTATCTTTTGTACCTGCACAGGTAGGGAAAAAATAACAGTAGAGACACATGTGTATACCCATGTTTGCATGACTAGCACACTTGTGAAGTAGAAACAAGGCAATGGTCAGAGCTTATTGCTATTGCATGAGCCCACTCAACGGTGTTACAGATGTGGAAAAGTGCAGTGAGAGTAGTGAAGTGTATGCTATAATCATACTTGCATATCTCAAGGAAATATAGTGCGTCTTATTAATTACAGATCAAAAATATATTTTGAGATCCTCTGATTAAAGGCAGTATTGAAATATAAATCATTGCAACAGAACCATGCTAACTTGCACATTTGAATGGGAGACCCTTTGTGGCTGAATTAGTTTTGCAATTTAGTAAGTTAACATACCCAGCACAGCAAAGCTCACGCATCACAAATTGCGATTATTCAGTGTATTTTGACAACAATATATCTATTTTAGTTATTTACAATGCATAATCACTTTCTAGTAGTTATTCAATAGCATCTCTTTTATGAAAATCAATGAAATCTTATTCATAGAGGCCGAAAGGGGTCAGGGGGATGCTGGGCAGAGATGAAGGTAGGGGTCCCTTTCTTCTCTCACCTGCACACTGGCTGCTTGCCACTGCTGTCTAATTCAGTCTGCTGTCTCTTCTCAGAAGTGCTGGAAAAGGCCCTGAAACCAGCACTGTGGCTTGATTAGGGACTAGTTAAAAGAGAGACATTTCTGTATGTATTGATTAGGGACTAGTTAAAAGAGAGACATTTCTGTATGTATTTCATGGTGTGCAGATGTGTGTGACTCGTACTATTGTTGATAATTGCTTGATAGTAGCCAAATAATAGATGAAAAGATGTTTTCTCTGTAAAGCAGGGTTTGCAAGTTTGGAAATAAAGTAATATTAAAGTAAAAGTAAAGATCTTTGGTGTCTGACAGGAGGTAAATTCGCTCAAACGAGACAGATAAAGTTTCAGACGACAGCTTTCAAATATCAAATTGTTTGTCATACAGGTGTTAGTACAGAAAATGCTTACTGCTAAGTACAAAAAACACCTTACAACCAAGAAACCCAGTGAACAAGAGAGTCTTTTAAACATTGTGATATGACTCTGTCTCAAGCTGGTGATGGGTCTAGAGAACAAATCCTATGAGGAGCGGCTGAGGGAGCTGGGGTTGTTTATCCTGGAGAAAAGGAGACTGAGGGGAGACCTTCTCGCTCTCCAGAACTACCTGAAAGGAGGTTGTAGCAAGGTGGGTGTTGGTCTCTTCCCAAATAACAAGTGATAGGATGAGAGGAAATGTCTTCAAGTTGTGCCAGGGGAAGGTTTAAGTTTCATATTAGGAAAAATTTCTTCACCAAAAGTATGGTCAAGCATTGGAACTGGCTGCCCAGGTAAGTAAGTGGTTGAGTCATCACCCCTGGAGCTATTTAAAAGATGAGTAAATGTGGTGCCTGGGGACATGGTTTAGTGGTGGACTTGGTAGTGTTAGGTTAATGGTTGGACTTAGTGGTGTTAAAGGTCTTTTCCAACTTAAATGATTCTATCATTTTATGTAGTTCCCCTTTCTTGCCCTGATGGATCTGCAATTCTCATTCATAAGATTATCAGGAAACCCACCCGTGTTTCATTTGAGCTCAGCACATGGGATTATATCCCTTTTTTTTCTGCTCAGTAGTGCAGCATCTCCCCAGTGCCTCTCACCAACTTTCCTGGCAGTCTTGCATTTTGTATTTCTTGCTATTCCAGTCAACCCAGGCATATATGCTTTGCACATGTGCCAAAGCCAGTAGTTTTTGCTGTTTCCAGCGTGCTGTTGGTTGAGACTATTTTCTCACTGCTTAACACTTCACTGGCATTTAACACTGAGGGCTTTGCCGTATGGTGTGCATCTTGTAGTATGGAGCAGGTAGCATGGGCTGTTTAACATGTCCTTCCTCACACTGGACAGATGTCTCTTTTTTGGAAGGGAATTCCCACCCTCTTCTGCTTTGACCAAGGGCCTGTGCTGATACTTTTCTCCTCTTTCCACCCACAGGGAAGTCGGTGCTTCCCTTACCATTGGGTTGCCTTGTGGCCATCACCTTATCTTGAAGTCTGGTTATCTTGACTAAAACCAAAGCTTGTCCACAACCAACATAAGTGTAAAATAGAAAATAAAGCAAACTGCAGTTTAGCTAGGCCCTAAACCAAATTAGGTCCAGTACTAACCAAGGTGTTAAGAGACAGTATATACTGACACAATCCGTCCATGTCACTTCAGTGTGGGTGCACCTCTTCTTCCACCAAGGGACCATCCAACAGGCTGTCTCAGATGGTCTGGGGCCGCTGAGCCTCCCCTGTAAAGACCAGAAGACTTGAGAAAGATCTGTGAGACTGGGAACAACTCTCAACAAGGTATTTGAGTACAAATGTGTGTGATAGACCTCAGACGTGCTACATAGCCTGAACCTCAGTCTCTTCTGGGGGATACCGCAGAGCAGTTGGGATTTGCAAATTAAACCCAAGTCCAGTGTAGACATTAATGCTTGATGTAGCTCTGCTTCTGCATCCCGGAGGAACCTGCTGGCACTTTCATCTTCTTTCTTGTTAGTACCACTGTTTATGTTTTGGGGTGTATGAAGGGGAACAGCCAGTATCTTGTTTTACTGTAGCGTGAGGAAAATCTATTTAAGTGCCTGAGGAAGGAACTGCTGGTTGCAGGTGTTGTCGAGAGATGTGTTCCTCTTCGCCCCTGCACTCCTGGAGGGGAATTCAGCAAAAAGGACCCGTGTGTGGAGCATGGTCCCTGACTTCCCCAAAGCTATATAAACATAGCAAAAACGCTGGTGGGCCCCGGTGCACTGAGGGTATGTGCCCCCCTTGTAAAAAAGAAAAGTGATTTTGATGATGTCCTCCATTTTTCTATGGTAACCTGTGAAATTTTTACCCTTTTTTTTCATATATAGTTTTTGCTGGACATTCTTGGTTCATATGTTAGTATTCTTTCCATTCCTGACTTGTTTACAGAAATTTTCAAGATGATGAGCAGCAGATAACAATAGGTGAATAATGAATGAATAACAGATAGTAGTCCAGCATGCTTATCACTAATAGCCTGCTGGCTTCTTGCAGGCTATAATTTGCCCACTTAAGCTCTGACCTGGTAAAACCCTTGAACACATTTAGAAGTGTATGAATAATCCACTGAAAATATTTTTGGTTGCTTTCTTAAAATTAAACATGTCAGTAGTTCCCTGTGAAGGTGATGTGTTTACTCCCATGCTTACAGGCACTGCATCAGGCATCACTCTTTCATATACTCACAGAAACGCTTTATCTCTGGTGAAATATATCATCTCCTTTCTTGAGCTGAATGTTTCATTCCTCTCACTCACAGATCTAATACCAC